GGTTCATTTGAACGTTTTTCAATAACATTAATAATGATTTCAAAGCTACCATGTTGTTTCCATTTTCTTGTGCATATTTTGGTCGAACCAAGTCGACCTGCAAGAAAGCATCTTAGAATAGCGCAGCAGTTCAGGGGCCATGGTTTTTGAATTATGAGATTCATAAGTGCTAATTATTGAATTATAAGATTGAGTAAGACTTCGAGGGCCATGGCTTTTGCTCTCACTCTACAATCAGTTCATGATCTCCTATAAGGACATAGCCATACTATATTCACTGCAACCATTGCCTAGTTGAAAATCACCATTAAAAAATAGTGTTCTTTTTACAAATGTACTCTCGCCTGACACTGGATATATTTCAGTTCAGTTTCTAAGAATCATACAACCATTGCCTTGTATGCTATCTTGTTTAAATACACCAAAAATTTGTATCATATCCTCATTTATTTGCTAAGAATCATCATACAACTCAATATCAATATTAGTCTAATACTTTAATCAGTAAATGGGGGGCATAGTCTTATGCAAATAGTCAATAAAGCTTCTTATTTGGATGCCGACTGTAATTTTGACAAAAGATGTCGCCTGGGATTTAAGCATATGTGGGTTCGTTTTCAATTCCACCATTAAAACCCATGTCGTCTATTTTTAATATTAGGTGGTAATTTTAGGTATTTAATTCTTCATGTAATCCCTGTGATCGCTAAAAGATGAATATGAACATAGAAGCTTAAATAATGCAGCAAAACCAAGATTAAATAATTATCAATGTTGTCTGATGAGTAGATTTTATATTATATATTTTACCCTAATCTTAGTATATTTTGGTTAATATATTGGAAGAATTTTGATACTTTGAATTGTATTTTCAATATAGGACTTTCGACTTCCTCTGGAGCAAAACAGGACCAAATGGACGAATTTTGGAGTAATTCCAATTGGAGGACGTTCGTGAGTCACTTAGCTTGATCGTATCAAAATTTTGGATTTTTCCACCAAGCGGTTATTTTCTGACGATGAAATGCTGGAAAGTGACGTTTTTGGGCTTTAATTGCGTTTTTGGAGCCCAAAATGACCTCGGATGGGTTCGTGGCCTTCTGGAAAAGTGTTCAGAATATTCCAAACATTCAATCCAGCTATATTGGGCCAGTTTTGGAGCAGCTTTTGGGCCAAAACGTGGCTGTTCAGATTTTAGACGAATTTTACTATTTTTATTTAGGGTTTTTATTAATTTTAGTTTGCTAGGGTTTGTGTGGTGGCTTAGCAAATATATTGCTTGGCCGTCTACAGTTTTAGGACTACGCTTTATTTTACGCAATATTGGAGACAGAGAGAAGTGCTAGGGTTTTGAAGATTTTCTACTTGAAGGTGTTTTCAATCCTTTTCTTAGAAATATTTTCTATGATTTCAATTATGAATATGTGGAACTAATTTCTTTTGCTAGGGCGAAGCCTTGAGCCTTAGCATGAATATGTGATTTTTATTTAATTGTTTATGATTGATTGCATGCATATTTTGAATTGTTAATCACCGGGATAAAAACTATCTAATTGTCTTAATGCCTGATCACCATTAGGATCTTTAGAAAAGTAATTTGATGCAATTTTGGTCGGAAGGTTCCCTGAAATTGACGCTGGCTTCTTGTGATTAATAATTGTAATTTCTCTTAAGATGAATATCACGTCTTAAGGATTGCATGGTTTTTCAAAGGATTTTCATAAAGCATAATGAGTCTTTCATGTTTAGATTTGATCCGAACGTCCGGACAGGTTGCATGTTAGATATACGTTCTATGTTGGAGGTTCCAAGTAGAATATGAATTAGGAAAATCTAACCTTCAAAGTGGCATGTGTAGATCATAAGTAATTGGTAAAAATTCATAGGATTGCTAGGTGATGGTGGAACCCTAGTGCTTTCTTAATTTGATTTTCTTAAAACTGTTTTCTTCTCTCTAATCCTAATATTGCAGATTGTTTATTTTAATTCATTAAATTCGTTTTTATTTTAATTAGGTTATAAAATCAATCACTTCAATTTCTATTTTACAATAATTAAATGGAATCTGATTAGTTCGAATTATTTAATAATCCCTGTGGAGATGACCTTGCGAAATCCGTTTATACTACAATAACCTTGTGATTCTTGCAAGTAAAATAGGAGATTTAAACCCGTTCACATTCGTCATGTGAAGCTTTTGAAACACTGATTTCGTGTTCCATTCGTCAAAAATAATTTTTCTCAATCAACATGTTTGTAGTTTCATTGATTAGGTTTTATTCAACAATGAAGGGTGAGAGGGGTTTTGATAGTTGAAGAAGATAAATAATATGTTAAAAGTGATTTGGGGTGTATTTAAAATTTTTCTATATTTTTTTAAACCTAATAGGGTCAAAATTCTCATTGCATAGTAGGGTAAATAAGTCATTAATATTACATTTTAATGTGGGATGCATCCAACATTTTATGGGATACTAATATAAAAAGCCTTACACAAATTCTACCACCAAATTCATAGATAAATTTGTAAAAATTTATAAAAGAAAAAAAAGAATTTCAAAACAAAAATTATGATACAGAGAGGGAAATTTCAATACGTACTCGATGTCATTTATGGGCTTTTTTTTATAAAACCCCAAAATGCGAAGCAAACGACGAAGATGACACAATTGATGAGGGCCTTGTCGAAGATAAAGCAATTAAAACGTCAAGAAGGACGGAGCCCAAAGCCCGTTCCGTCGAAAATCGAGGTCGAGTTTGAGGTGAATTGGATGACGGAGCTTGTGGGTTCTTCGATTGAGGTTCGAATCTGAGGCCTTGTTCGTGATTTTGGGTTCGGGGCTAGTTGAAAAGGAGAGGACGCAAGAAGAGAACATGACGAAGCAAAGGTCTTAGAGCACTTCCTCCCCTCTCAAATCTCCTAGGGGATAGCAAATTAAGGAGAGTGCATTCTATTGAGATTTAAGGTATTTTATTGGATTTATATATCCATAGAATTTGATGAGTTTAATTGATTTTTAGAGATTCTATGTATAATTTTGATTCATTTTCCTCGAAATCTCAGGGGAGGAGGTGAGATTTGGGAATGCTAAAATACACTATGAAATCTCTCAAATTCTCTCAAATTCTTCATCACCTAAAATATTATAAATTTCTTTAAAATCCTAATTGAATACCCTCGGATTTCTAAGGATTTTAATAAACTATTTTAAAATTCTGATTGAATACTCCTAGATTCATTAAAATAATTAAAATAATTTTAGAGAATCACTTAAAATCATAATTTAATACTTCTAGATTCATTAAAATAATTAATATCTCTCAAAATCCTAATTGAATACACCCCTATGAATCCCCTCCCTCCCCCAAAACTCCTCCACCCCATTCCACTCACCTAGGCTAAAATCTACTAGCCTAGTCCTAGGCCATGTGAAGCAAGGCTGACATCTAAAAAAAATTAATTAAAACTACAAAAGAATTATTAAAAAAAATCCTAAAAATTAATTAAAAAAAATAATATATTTTTTTTTTCTATAAATACCTAACCATGTTCTTCCACCTTATACCACATTTCAATATTTTCAAATACTTCCAATCAATATTTTATTATCATCCGAAATAAAAATTAAATTATCTTTTATTATTTTATAAAATAGTTTTTTTAATATGAATTGCCACAACTATTTAGTTTAGGATTTGAGATGCACTTGGGTAGTTACTGTTCACTAAAGACAGTTGCTATTCGCTTGGGATGATTGAATTGCCTATTGTTCGAGGAGCTGTTTAGGGTAGAAATGCTTTTATGGAGTCCATGGTTTAGGGGTTCTCCCTAAGAAAGTCTAACGAGTTCTTTAGGTGAGGCGAGTCCTCATTAGTCACATTAAAGCTAGTTCTAGAAGGCAACAAACACAAACTAACTAATATTTAATCCAGTCTAGTCCAATGAAAGCTAGCGAGGGCAAACAAACGCCCCCTAGACCTTAATCATGAGGACTAAACACATTGCAAGCCCGAGAGTCGTACAGGCTCCACGAAGAAAGGGCTGCACCAATCTCTAATGATTTTACAATTGTTGGTAAAGAAGCCCTTCTATAAGTCCCCTCCAACAAACGCCGAGTTTCCTTCTCATGGTCCTTTTCCGAGTGCACAAACCATAAACACCACTACCAACAACAGTCCCGGCTATAGAATATGAGATTGAACAAACCACAACCATAACTAAAACTAGGAAAGCTTTGCTTAGCAATCGCCACTCATAATCATTTCCTTTTCTTTTAAATTCAACGTCTTAAAGTTTAATTTTTGTGAATAACAAGTTCATATCATTTTATTAAAATGAAATTATATCAACAAACTTCCAACATGACCTAGCCCAAATTATATTGTCACAATAAAATCAGGAATTCTACTAGAGGAATAAAATGAATCAAGATAGCGTTAGAATATTCTATCCTAAATAAGCAAATGCGTCAACTACAAATTAAGTTTCAACAAGCATAAAATCAAACTTTTAAAAGATGAGATTATAATGGATATCCTTACTTACAAGTGATGAATTATCCTGATAATTAAGTTTTCCTTTTCAAATCATTTCGAGTTCAAATCTTCTCCCATCCCAAATTACAATATCATCGCACAACATTGCAAATTTAGCCAGCTCATGGGCATTTGATTACAACTCCTAGGAACATAAGAAGTTGACGCTCGGTATTTTATTAATTTCTCTGTCTAATCTCTACAAACATGCATTTAAGGCTAATTTTATGACCGATGTCATGACTTCTCTTTAGTCATTCAGCTCAATCTTCATCTTCGTACTTCAAATTTGATTATAAAAAATATAGCACGAATAGAAAAACAAGAAAAACAAATAAAAATAAAAATAAAGATCATTACGCTCAAACTTAGCAAAAATCCAAGCCTCCATTGTCACCAAAATGGCCTTATTAATTAGCCTTTCCTATAACCTCACAAAACGAAACCTCTCTTGAACCCACACAATGTTACTCAGAAACCGCCTCTTGGCCCTGCATATCACTTCCTTCTTATCACCGACTCCCCTTCCACCTATCAAAACCCGACCTTTCACTCTCTCCTTCCGAACCCTCCTCTCAAACCTTACCTGTCGGAACCAAAACCCAAACCCGAAACGCCATGTCTCAGCTCCAAAAGCCACGGCTAACTCAATCCTGGACAAGACCGTCCTGTTCATGTCGCCCGGGGTCGACCCGGCCGAGGGGAAGATTGAGAACATGGTCCTACCCGGGTCGAACATCGTGCTCGGACCCTACGCCGGCGACGCCAAGATTAAGGAGGTGGAGTTCGTGAAGAGCAGTGCCAGAGCCAAGGAATGTCCCAAACATGACCGGCCTGAATTCGCTATTCTGGGTCGGTCCAATGTGGGCAAGTCCTTGCTCATTAATTCCTTGGTTCGCAAGAAGGATGTTGTTCTTGTTGGAGCTTAAAAAGACTTCACTACTTCGGAGATTATCTCACAAAGAAGAATGTAATGCAGCTAGGTAAGAGAAAGAAAGAATACTCAAAGTAAGAGAAAGAAAGAATACTCAAATATTACACAAGATTTTTATTCACTCACAAACTTAGAACAAGAGGAATACTCAAACACTTTTAGAAGCTTTGTTGCATTTTCTCACTTGGCACTTTCACTTCTTGCTCTCTTCGTTGTTTCAAATGGTGTGGATGCCTTCTCATTTTATAGGTATGGATGGAACCTTGGAGAAGCATGGAAGCATCATGCTAGAGATATCTAGATAATTCCACTACCTTCCTAAGATAGAATTATCTACACTAATCTTGTATGTTGGTGGAATCCTCACCATTCTTCTAGACTCTTCCACTAACTTGAACTTTGCTAAATTCTCTAGCATGTGCATAGATCTTTCTTTGTGCATGGGTTAGATCCATTATCTTTGGGCCAAGACAAGATTACAATTCAACAGTTCTTACATCTAAGAAACCAGGTTTGTTCTGGGCTTTGATTATTTTTGTGTGAACTTATGCAGTTTGAATGTGTTTTGGCATCTGGGTTTTGATTATTTTTGTGTAAACTTATGCAGGGAAGACGAAGCTCGTCAATCATTTCTTGGTCAACAAAAGTTGGTGTTTGGATTAAAAGTTAACTTTGGGCTCAAGAAAGGAGCTGGCCCAAAAGGAGGCCCGAAAGGGAAGATAGCCGAAGCCCAGTCAAAACCCAGAAGGCAGAAAGGGCCTTTTCTGACCTGGTGCAGCTCATGAAGACCACTTGCTTACCTACCCAAGGGCCAAGTGGTATAGACTGATCAGCTACACAGCCCATAAAAAGTACTTTATGATGGCAGTACATGTAAAAAAGCCGATGAGTCATCACCCTCAAACCGCATTCGGGCAAGGCTGTTGCTACAGAAGACCAAGCCGAGTTGTCTATATAAGAAGAAAGAAAAACCAGGAATAAGGACACTCAATCAAACAAACAAATGCAAGCACAAACTCTGTTCAAAGCCAGATTTGCCTTCAAAACAAAGCTGTAGTCAGCCTTCATCCCTTTCGGGATAAGCCTTCATCCCTCTCGGGATAACCCTATCTTCAACCCTTTGTAATAGCTCTGCTACCTTGTTCAACCTTGCTGTAGTATCGATTAATCTTTTGAAATCTCTCTCTCTCTATCCCTCTAAGCTTTCAGACCTTTGACAAAACTACAAATATAGGAACCTGCAAGACGAGCAACCTTACCCGATAAGGTTTAACCTTGCCCGACCTTCTTTGCTTTGTCTTTGTCTTTTCAATATGTTGTATACTTCCAGTTATATGCAAGTTATTTCTAGCAATATGACTATTAAAAGGCTTTCTCAGTACTTGAATCCGATTTGAATATATCGTCAGTGTTCAAACCAGATCCAAGTCCTAAGCCCTCGGGCATGTAAATATGATCAGTTAAAAGTCCTTGGCCTCAAGGCATAAAAAAGAAACTTATGTGGACTTAACCCATCCACGACAGTCCTTGATAAACGAGAAGTCCGAAGTTACTTGGGGCGCAAGTAATCGACCTACTCTCTAGTTTTCTTTCTATTATATTACGATTACCATAAAACGCTTGAGCATGGAATGGATTCTGATGGAAAGCCTCAAGGCCTACACCTAAGGCCCCACAAAGGCATCCATTTGGATTCATTCCGTTCTGCGATCTAGAGAGTTTGAGTATAAGAATGAACTCTGATGGGAAGCCTCAAGGCCTACACCTAAGGCCCCACAAAGGCACCTATTTGGGTTCATTCTACTTCTTGGACTCAGGTAATCAGAAGTATAATAGTTAGAAAACTCCGGCAATCACGAGAACAAATATGATGTGTTCGAGCACCGGTTTAGTTATTGATGGGAAGCCTCAAGGCCTACACCTAAGGCCCCACAAAGACACATGTTATAACTAACACGGTTTCTTGGATACATACATATATGCAACTAAAACGCGACATCCATTTTACATCTGCCATGCTAAAGATGGCAGTGGCACGCCTGAGCACCTAAATGTTAACCTTGATTGTGAGCCTCAAGGCCTACACCTAAGGCCCCACAAAGGCACATCTCAAAGTTAACGCTGTCATTCTCTTTCAGCCTTGCCCGAAGAGTCTTGCTCGACGAGACTTGCCCGACTAGACTTGCCCGACAACGCCTGACAGCGAAGCAGAAGCCCGACAGCAGCCCTCAACCGGCGCCAACCTCCAGGGGAGCTGTGTGCTCGTCGACTAGGAAACATCCCCGACGGAAATTCCTGACGCGAACATAGTTTTGGCACGCCCGGTGGGATCTCAATTGGATCAGAAGATATATGTCAAAATGCCAGAAGGTTTACAAACCACGTTACTACAAATGTTGCAAAGATTGGAGAAAGCTTCCACAGGCTTTAGAAAAGAAACAGACCTGGTTCCTCCCGAGGGAAAGAGACTTAAAACCAGCCCGCCTGAAGAGTTGGTGGTAGACAAACCTGCAGTTCCTTTTTCAGAAGTCCCTGTAAATATGATCAATATGACATGGGCTGAAAAGGGAAAAGAAAGAATTACAAGGGAACCAGAAGAGAAGAAATTGGCTGAAAAACCTACAGGAGGGGTGATTAAAACACCCGAATATCCAAAAGCAGCCATAATCAAGGGGATGGTTATGTGCAGTAAGTGCCAATGCGAGTGTGAGTGCGAAATTCCCCCGGTTGGAGTCCTCATTGACCGTGAACTAATCAGGAGAAAGGAAGAAGACGTCAGAAGAGAAGCCCGCGAAAAGATTAAGCAGGAAACAAAAAAGGACACTTCTCGAAGCGTTTTTCAACGACTAGGAGGTGATTCCCAACCCAAGCTTTGTCAGAAGTATTTCGAAACCATGAAGTTTCTGAAGAAGCAGAAGATATGGAGGCCAAAATATGAAGGGGTACAGATCATCCTCAATGTGGCCAGATGGGGAGGGAAATCAAGAGGATTGATGGCATGACCAATCCTGTTAGAAAAGAGCATCCTGCCCACCTCGGGCGAAAATGGTACGTAGTCGGGAAGAACGGACAGCCTACCAAACCAATGGGAGCCTCCATGGTCATGAGGGTTCAAAGGCAGCACAAAGCCTACATAAATGCCCTGAAGACCCCCACAACATCCGAATCCTCCAAAAATCACAAGTTGGAGAAAACAGCATCTGGGGGAAGTAGTCAGCTCCGTTGGAGAAGTAAGAAAGAGGTGGAAAAGGCCAACAGCAAGACAGAAGGCGAGGGGGATCACGTGCCGCAGAGCCAACACCCTGAGATGTATAGGATCTTGAGGAGAGCTCAAGAAGATCTAATCATGGTGCCAACCCCTGGATGGAAGCCAGAGCCTATTTGCTTTGGAACTATTTCATAGTTAGAGCGGGCAACTTCTTGGGATTCCTGGTGCATCAAAGAGGTGTAGAAGTGGATAAGAACAAATCTCGGGCAATAATGGAGTCACCTTCACCCATCAACAAGGTGCAACTCCAGAGGTTACTGGGCAAAATTAACTTTTTGAGGAGATTCATTGCTAATTTAGCAGGCAAGATCCAGCCACTGACTCATTTACTAAGGTTGAAAGATAAAGAGAAATTTGAATGGGGACCACCGCACCAACAGGCCTTTGACAGCATCAAGGCCTATTTAACTTCTCCACCAGTGTTGGTGCCACCTCAAAGGGGAAAACCCTTGAAGCTGTATATTTCTGCCTCTGAAAAGTCAATCGGGAGTTTGCTAGCCCAAAATAATGAAGGCGGGAAGGAGCAGGCAGTGTACTACCTCAGTAGAATTCTGACAGAGATAGAAACAAGGTATTCCCCGGTAGAGAGATTATGCTTGGCTTTATATTTCACTGCCAGTAAATTAAGGCATTACATGTTACCTTGTCACGTGCACATCATCGCCAAGCCAGATGTGATAAAGTACATGTTGTCAAAGCCAATGCTCACATGAAGGATTGGGAAATGGATTCTAGCTTTATCGGAATTCAGTTTTCAGTACGTACCCAAAGGGCAGTTAAAGGTCAAGCAATTGCCGACTTCCTAACCGAGCATCAAGAATCTCCAAGTGAGGTGATCAATATCCCGGGAAGCTTAGAGGTTACTAGCATTTGGATCCCGCCGAGAAAAGATATTTCGGGCAAAGAAGACTGGGTCCAGCAAGAGATAAGAAGAGTAGCTGGTCTCTGGATCACTCCTTGGAAGTTGTATTTCGATGGATCCTACACTCAGAAGGCTTCAAGAGCGGGAATTGTAATTGTAAACCCTCAGGGAGTTTATCATTATTATTCATTTCTCTTGGACTACCAAGGGAATACTAATAATCGGGCAGAGTATGAGGCCTTAATTATTGGTCTGGATATCTTGATGGATTTGGGGGCAGTAGAGGTAGAGGTCTTTGGGGATTCAGAGTTGGTAATAAACCAGTTAAATGAGGAGTTCAAGTGCAGACATATTACAATGGCAGGGTATTACTTGGCAGCTACGCAATTATTGAATTTCTGGGATTCTGAGATATCGGTCAATCATGTTCCCAAGGAATCCAATTTAGCGGCCAACGAGATGGCACAACTAGCCTCAGGAGTGCCAATACAGGAGAGGAAATATGGGGTAGATGTCGAGATCCAAAGGAGAAACATTCCTTCCATCTTAGAAAGGGGATTCAGTCTAGATATAATGGTGCTAGAGGCTGAGATAGAAGATTGGAGGTCACCTATCATTCATCATTTGAAGGATCCTTCCTCGCCTACAAGCAAGAAGGATAGACAGCAAGCAACCAAGTATGTCTTATGGGCGATGAACTTGCTAAGAAAAACTCCAGATGGGTTACTATTGAAATGCTTGGGCCAAGAAGAATCCATGAGGGTAATGGCCGAAGTACATGAAGGAGTATGGTCAGGCTGGAACGAAGATGAGATGGTTGCTTATGAGGTATGGTTATTTCTGGCCCGACATAGAAAAAGATTGC